TTGAGCCACTGGTCCACTAAACCACTAAACCATTGAGCCACTGTTTTTTTAATGAACACAGTCACCAACACAACAAAGTAATGGTTGTAGGTGTAAACCTTGTCTCAGCCTCACAGTAAATTCTTTTTTTTTAAATTTTTTTTTTTATTTGTTCTATTGTACATAAGAATTTAACCTGCACTTTTCATTAGTAGTTGTCCACATGACCATAACCTCTCTGTTTTGTCTCAGGAGATTGAATGTCTCAGCCAAAAGTTGAAGTTTCTCCATAAGAGAATGCAGGTGAGTGACCATGATCAAACAGAATTATCATCCAACTTGTTCTCATGTTGTGGACAAAGTAGCTGTAACTTAAAAAGTCAAATGTTGTGCATTTTTAGTATCCTGCAGTTTTCTGTTTTTCTGTGATCTGTCCTGGCTGTCCTGCAGGTGGCAGACTCTCACACCTGGAAAGGCGTGCTGACCAGAGCCCCTCTGTGGTGAACCAATGTCCACAATTCCAGCTGACAGATCAAGGCTCTCCATTAGGCCTTGTTTAGAGTGTTTTGTCATTCGTGATGAGATTTCAAACACACATAGTCATCAGTCTGGTTGGAATCTGGACAAAAGATCTTCTTTAAACATTTAGTCACAAACTCACCTCTCTATCCCCCATGCTATTGCTAAAAGAATGATTACAGTAGTTTGCTTTTCTGCTTTGAAATGTAGTGGAAAAAATCCCTGTCACTTCTGTATAATTTAGGAACAGCATACAGTTAATCCAGAAATATCTCATTCCAATGCCACATTTTGATTTATTGGAAGTAGATTTCTTCTGGCTGGAAATGGCAAAAACAAGACAGTAAGATGTTGTGTTGCAGATGTTAATGATGAATTTTAACTCTTCCTATGTTTGTTTGTGTTTTTATTTTACTCAAAAATGCCATGTCTACAACTATTTATGTACTTTGTAATTAGTGGATTGTTTGATTAAATGCAGCTTCTGTAGCATTCCAAATGATCCCTGTAATTTACACCATTTTCTAGATTATATTAATACACAACAAGTTGAGCACAGACGATGCTGTAGTTCTGTAGTCAATTATCAGTCAGTTGCTAAAATCATGGTTAAAACCAAAGAGCTTAGTGAGCTGCATAGATGGCTCCATCACTCAGGCAGATCTACACACTGTAGCTGCTCACGAAGGAACAGAAAGGCTATAAAATCACATCCAAGTGTCATTAAGTGCCACTGGCCACTGACAGAGCATCATTAAAAAAACAAGGACAAAAGTTCCCTGTGAAAAAGGTTGTTGTAGGAAACCAAAAGGGAGCCTTGCATGGGCAAGGATGGTAGAGGCCAAGAAAAATCCACGGATCACCACCAAGACCATCCTGATGAATCGGAGCAGTTGTGGTACCAACAATTCAATCAGACACTCCAACAGACACTCAACCCCAATCCTCAAAAAAAAAGAGGACTGAAAGTCTCTAAACACATGGGCCCGGTTTCGCATTCAGGGCTTAAATAAAACCAGGACTAAATTAATCTGGTTTAAATTAATTCACACTCATCCAATTGCTTTCTGATGTGTCACTTAACTTCAGATTAACTGGTTCAAGACCACAGAGTCTCAGACTAAAGGAATCAAAGACAACTCAGATCATGTTTTGGAAGTCGAATCAGATTAAAAATGTGCACATGGTGCATAGCTAAGGGTGCTCTACAAACCCGGGGTGGAATATTCCAATATACATTTTAGCAGTGTGTGTGCGCGTGGAACTGGAGTTTGACCCCTGAACTAGAATGGAGAAAAGAAAAAGAAAGCGTTCAAAAAACTTCAGTGAAAGCGAGAAGAAACTCTTAAAGGAAATTATTTCAAAGTACCCCACAATTGAAAACAAACATCATGATTCAACAACAGAAACCAAAAAAGGAATGCATGGACTGCAGTTTTGAATGAATATAGCTCAAATGGATAAGTAACCAACAGGATCCTCCAGGTAAGATTAATTTATATTGTCTATGGTGGCCTGATTGTACTATTCCCTCATTTTGAAATGTGTGTCTTCTCATTTGACACACACACATTTCTATATTGCCTTTTAAAGATCCTGTGGAAAAACATTGAAATACACTTGAAGAAAACAACAGCCATTGCTCGTCGGGAGCGTTTCAAGCCCGGTGGGGGACCTCCAGTTACACAAGAGACAGATGACCTTGGAGACTTGTTAACTGGGATGATTGAAAGCCAGCAACCCTTGGAAGGTATCCCAGACAATGATCACCCGGACAGTTCAGGTGAGGAAACACTCCAATACTCATTTGCTTTAGTGCATATACTATTTTCCCCAGCAGGTTAGCGTAAGCTAAATAGTATTGTCTTTTGCACTCTGATTTAAAAAATACTGTCATGGCCTCAATTCTTGAAATCTGATGTCTAATATTGGAATTCTTTTCTAGAAAAAGATGACCTGAGCTTGAGCCAGATGTTAGAGGAGTCAGAGCAGAGACAAGAATATCAGCCCTCCGCACCTGTAGCAGCAGCAGCAGCAGCCAGTATCTCCAACCCAGGAAGCAGGCCAAGAGGGAAAAGGCGGACCATTCATGAGAAACTTGCTATCGAGTTCCATGAGCGTAAAATACAGTATTTAAAAGAACAACATGAACTCAAGATGAAAATCCTTCATGTTGAGTTGTCTATCAAAGAGGTGGAGAGAGACATGAAGCAGCAGCAGCAGCGGCAATATGACAGTGCTCTTTGTAACAATGCCCCTGTTAACCTTGTGCCTTTGTGAATTAAAAATACTACAATACAATAATAATTCAACCAAAATTTATTAAGCAATGAACTATCTCCCTCTCTTCTCTTTATCTTCACCATTTTCAATATATGATACATTATGCATAAAAAAATGTAATACATAAAGCAAAATAACACAAATGCCATCACTTGTGTATCACTCCACTTTTTTTTTTTTTTTTATGAAAAATGCTGCAAAGCAAAGGTGTCTCTGTAAGTGTGTCCAGTTTTGTTGTTGGCTGCTTCTGCCATGGGAACATGTGGGTCATTGCAATATTCAGTCGGTGGGTCTGGGGAGCCATGTTGTCTCAGGTAATAATGAAGCACTGCCGTTGCCACAATGACAATAAAGCATCTTCTTGGTTCAAAACGTAAAGTATTCCTGAGACAATGGAAACGACTCTTCCAGACACCAAACATGTGCTCTACTAGCCCTCTGGTGTGGATATGAGCTTGATTGTACTGCTGTTGCTCAGGTCTGACAGGATGAAGATAAGGAGTAAACAAAAAGTTTGTGCATAACCGAGTGATTCTATAATTAGGGGTACATTTCAGATCTACCAAAAAGTGAAAAAATCAGTGCGCTTTTTGGCTTAATATTCTATTTGTTTCCATAGAATACCCCTGGATTGTGCTAAATCCATTAATTGGCAAGCTTAAGCTCTAATGATTTCTTA